AGTTGTCGTCCAGTAGTATCATATCTGCCGCCTGTTTGGACACATCGCTGCCCGCTATACCCATAGCTATGCCAATGTCGGCCTTTTTAAGGGCGGGCGAGTCGTTGACACCGTCGCCCGTGACGGCCACGATAGCCCCCTGGCGTTGACAGCCCTCCACTATAATGAGCTTCTGTTGCGGCGATGTCCGGGCGAACACAATCTCCGTGTGCCTCCTCAGCACGTTATCCAAGTCTTCGGCCGTGTAGTCCTTTAGGTCCTGGCCGTGGATTACTGCCGCCTTCACCGAACTGTCCCATCGATTGTTAGTATAGAAATGAGTTTTTCATAAGAAATGCATGTTTTAAGGCTTAATACGAGTAGAGTATACCAACCTGTGGTCAACTTTCTCGACCGGATAGAATTCGGCCCGGCGGTAGAGGAGAAACCAGAGTAAGAGCAGTCTATACTATGGCTGACGGGCACGCTACCGAAACCGCCACTAACCCACCAGCGGCCACTGGTACTAGTGAAACTACGGTCGCGTCCGACACTTGCTCACAGCGTCGGGCACCGCGGGTCGGGGCGGGTCTATCATCGACACAATGCCCACGAATCGGAGTCCAGTCATCGGGAAGTTCTCTTTGTCGGCGTCGAAGGGAAAGTCATATGGGTATCGGTCCTCTGGCAGGAACTTATCGCACAGACCTATCGGGAAAGGCATGTAATTAGATTAAATTTACTTTGATTATGACTTTTAATTAAAGGTACTATTTTAACTGCAAATTTTTAACCCATATTTCATTTTGAGAGTTTGTAACACAAAGTTAATGATACTATCAATAATTTACATAATGCTTACCAATAACCCGTTCCCCTAAACTGCCCAACTCTTCATAGGCGGCCACAAACTGTTTCTTAATCTTGCTATCGAGGGGCACCTCTTTACCCTTGGTGATAATGGTGGTACACTTGTCAAGTATGCGTTCGGCGCGGGGGAAGTATGTGTCGGTCACGGGGAGAAGGGGCGCGCTGAGCAAATATCACTCCCGCATGAATAACCAGCTTAACTTACCGTGAAGTTTATGAAACCCCACAAAAGCCGCCTTCGGGAGCTGATCACTGGTGATGATCTCCATGTACTTCAGTATTGCCACTTCGGAGGCATCACCAATGGCCTCCCTGTGCGTATGCAAAAAGTGCCGAATCAGAGATATACTAAAAACTTAGTGTATTATTGGATAAGGGGACGAATTGTTTGGATACCTTTTAAGTGGTGATACTTTTTCCTGCCCGGCCACAAAATCAGCTCGACTACATAAACTGCATACTTTGACTAAGGCTTTCCAAGCCGGGCAGTCTGTGTCCACTTTATTGCCTATTAATAAATTTAAAAATAACGATTAAATACATTGTTATTGATCCTGATATCTATAGACATAAGTATAGTGTTCACCCATTTCCCGTATGGTAGAAGCACAGGTTATTCCAACAGCCGCAGCTACTATCACAATAATGTGGTGTCTACTCTCTGACAGTAGAATAAGACGCAGTTACAGGGCCAAAACAGCCATGTATACCACCTGGTGGAGCCCAGTGTCTCCACTGCCTGCAAGTTCTTCACCAAACAGTTCTTAGAGGCCATACGTTTGGCCGTTAGGGTCAACACCAGACAGTAACACCCGTTGTCCGGAAGGCCATGGACTCGGTGCTAATCTGAATACTTCTTATACGTTGACAACTCGGTGCACATCGGATTCTTTTTACTACATTGACAAGGCATCCCACCCACGTTTTTAGGTATTAGTTAATACGATGTAACAATTAATTGGTTACAAGTACTGACCGGCAAAGGCGCCGCCAAATAGTATGGATACAGTGGTAATGAAACTCATAAACCGGGACACGTCTTGAGATAACGGGGTGTCGTTTGCCTCCAAACCGGCCGCCAATATAGCTATCCTTCCCATTATTGTTCGGTCGCCGGTGCGCACCACAAACCCACGGGCCGTACCTAATGGACAATATTTAGTACCAAATTGTATTTAGTAACAGGTATATTTGGTAAATATGGACAGGTACATAATATATTAGAGGCATGCTAACTAGAATTTTGTGATTGCTTAGTTTCTACAGTATTTGGAAATGATTGGTATATATATTGGTTAACACTATACATAAGTTTCTATGAGTTGTCAATTTATCTGTCAACAGTGTGTCGGCAGTGTCTCCACAGAAATGTCTTACTCAACACAAACCGTATATAAATTTTTTGTAATATAAACTGTAATATTTTTTGTAACTTTTTGTTCATACCTTCCACACAATTAGTCGAGAAAAAGGCCAAATTTTTGGTCTCCAAAGGGTTATCGTGGGTACAGTCGGGAGTGCGCGACAGGGGTTCAGACTCGCCCGTCAGCGACGAGTTGTCCACTTTAAGGCCCTGGGATTTTACAATACGCACGTCAGCCGGCACCTGATCACCGCCCTTGATCTCCACCAGATCTCCCACCACCAGGTCCTCCACCGGACAGTTCATCTTAGAGCCCGACCTAATGACAGTCGCCGACCGGGGTATCAGATTCTTGAATGAGTCCATTATGTTAGCGCTCTTAGCCTCTTGATAGTAGGAGAAGCACCCGGATATGAATACCACGGCTGCCAGTGCCACACCTAAATATAACTGTACAAAGGGTATAGATTTTAATAGATCTTGAATGAGTCCATTATGTTAGCGCTCTTAGCCTCTTGATAGTAGGAGAAGCACCCGGATATGAATACCACGGCTGCCAGTGCCACACCTAAATATAACTGTACAAAGGGTATAGATTTTAATAGATTATAATCATATAAACCGAGATTAATTAGGAGTAATCTAAAACTAAATTAAGGTTTCAATATAAATGTTCACATGTCACTTACATTATCCGGGGGCACTTCATCTTTTTCCAAAGTGGTCATCTGTATGGTGTACGCAATGAAACATAGGGCTGACCCGATCCACAGGAGTACGTTAAACCATCCAAACATGTTTTCCATGAATCGCACCCATTCTGGGGTCACTTTCGGAGGGGTTATGGAGTTGGGTCCGTCCCGTTGTAGGAATTGTTTGGCCAGACCTGGTGTTAATCCCTGTTATGACAATGAGTTTTTGTTTAGTCAAATTAATCTAGGTATTAAATATACCGTTATTTGCTTAAATTCTGTAGAAACTATTAATATATTGAATCATATTTTTAAGATGCAGTTATTTTGTAAAGTGCTTTTAAATATGATGTACTGCTTATACTGAATTCATTGAGTATTTTGAATTAGATTTGCACTGAATTCACAATTTTTAGGGAATTCTATTAAAACCAAATCTAATTTCCTAAAACCATATTTTAAAGCTTTTACTTGTACAGTATAAACTAATAAATTTATAATGGCTAATAAAATTATCCGCAATGCAACTCTTTAAATAGTTTTAAAACCTATAATTTAGTATTCAATCTAATTAAACTTTGTCGAAACGTTGAAAATTTCAACTTGAAATACTACCAATAAATTGAACATTTCCCTAATTCTAATTACATTACCTAAACATTAAACATACAAAATTTATGACAAAAATGAATATAATTACTGAGAAATGTAGTGACCAATTGACTAACAGTTATTTTAAGTTTATATTATATTGTGATAAAAACTTAGTTATATTTGCTTACGGTTTCTGTATTAGTCTGTAGTCGGCGGCATAGCTCAGCAATGGGAATGCGGTGGTCATCCATTTCCACTTCACCCTTGAGCTTATCCATGTCATCCTTTTTCTTAGACTTCTTACTCTTTGGTTTACCCTTTTTGTCGTCTTTCGACACGATTCTTGCATTCTTGGCACCCTTTTTGTGATGGCTAATTGTCTGGACATTCTGGTTTTCATCCATGAGATCCCTGCCCTCAGCGCCGGCATCTCTAATATCATACTATTTGACGTTTAATATAAAGAATCGGATTTTTTAGTAAAATTCTTTAAAACAAAAATTCTTGTATTTAGATATAATAACAATTATTTTATACCAATTGTTTAGACTGCCGTCACGGGCGACGGTGTCAACGACTCGCCCGCCCTTAAAAAGGCCGACATTGGCATAGCTATGGGTATAGCGGGCAGCGATGTGTCCAAACAGGCGGCAGATATGATACTACTGGACGACAACTTTTCCAGCATTGAGACGGGTATAGAGGAGGGCACCCAGTAAAAACTATTGGAGTTTTTCAGGTAAACGATATGTGACAGCAGGTTTTACGGGCTTTACAATGGCAAACACCGGAAAAAGACGGAGTTATATGGCGACCGAAACCCGCGGTAATGATATGAATGCATCGATTTCGGCACAGATATGGTGCCCGCTATCTCCCTGGCCTATGAGGGCCCTGAGAGTGATATCATGAAACGTAAGCCCAGGAACCCTAAGAAGGACAGACTGGTCACCGAAAAGTATTAATTATTAAATGTGTTTTACAATAATTATTGATCAATCACTGATCAAATATAGAGTGATTACCTAATATTTGTGTCATTGCATAGACTGGTGTCCATATCCTACGGCCAAATGGGCTTTTTTCAGGCCTTCGCCGGATTTTTCACATACATTGTCATTATGACTGAGAATGGGTTCCTTCCGTGGGATCTCTATGGCATACGATCTGAATGGGATTCCCGGGCCGTCAACGCACTGCCCGACTCCTATGGACAGGAATGGGTCTGTATTGTGTCAATTAGTATAAGGGTATAGTTACACATTTATTTCATTTAAAACCTATAAAGACTTATCATCAACGAAAGACTCTGGAGTACACGTGTCACACGGCTTTCTTCGTGTCGGTGGTACTAACAAAATGGGCGGCACTGGTATGTTGTAAAACACGACGGCTCTCCATATTCCAACAGGGCATGAAGTAATTGAAAATGAATGTTTGAAAAGCAACTTTTATTTAGCATTCATAATTGTTTACTATTTTCATAAGGAATCATGTGCTCACTTTTGCCATGGTTTTCGAGCTGGCACTGGCCCTGTTCCTATCCTACTGTCCCGGTCTGGACAGGGGTCTCAACATGTACCCATTAAAGTACGCAAATTATAATTTATGAACACTAATTTTAGAGACAAGTTAAACAATTCATATGGACTAGGATTCTTTAAAATTACAATTTTTGTAGTAATAATTCTTATAAATAATTGTTTGTCTAACTATTAGATGGTCCTGGTGGTTTACATCAATTCCCTTCTCGATAGCCCTGTTTTGTTACGACGAGTTACGCAAACTAGTGATGAGACGACTTCCCGGTGGGTTCATTGAAACGGAGACTTATTATTAAGGGATATATCAATAAGTACGTGCACAATAGTTGATCCACATTTTAAATCACAACATGTTGTCTCTATTCAACTACTAGACCCTCATCCTGTAAGCCTTTTGATTGAGTACCCTTTTAATTATTTAGCATTAATGATATATTGATTTAATAATAAATTATTATTTTATAATAACCTGTTTAAAATCGGACTCACAAACAAGTATACGCCATATTACACTTTTAAAAAGTACAGATTTCACACATCATTACAAAATGTTTACTTATAGGGGGAAGGGCACAAAGTACTCAATAAGTTGTCATTAATTAGTAATTAATAATTACAATGAATAATGTGATCATTTATTTAGAGAATGTACATTTTATGGAGAATATAAAAATACAGCAAAAATTATACATTATATTTGTAACATAAATATAAATACATTTTAAAAAACTAAATTAAAAACAAAAATTATTTGTAATTGCGTTATAAACTAAACGCAAATGTATTATCAAATACTACAGCATAGAGCGCCTACACCATAGCCACCTTAGCGGGCGTCGCCGTATCATCACTACCCGTCCCCTCTTTGCTATGAGATTCATCAGCGCCTGAATGCAAAAAACTATCGGACGGCTCCTCCGTTTTCACGGCGCTTATCTCGTAGTCCTTATCGGGGGTCGGGTAGTAGCCGGCCCGCGCCTTACGCTCCCGGCGCCAGCACACGACAAACAAGACTATTATGATAATCACCGGCAATATCACACCTATAAAAATGCCTCCCAGGGTCAGTTTATAGCTGACATCCTTAATACACTCGGGGTCCACACCCCACGACCATAGACCGTCCTCACGGCACCGGCGCACCTCATATCCGACCAGTCGGTAGCCCTCATCACACGAAAATCGTACTATAGTCCCTGGCCAGTAACGGTTTTCTGATTTGCGACCATTTTTGGGCTTAGGCAGGGCCGGGCACCTGATCACCGTATCTGTTAGTTCCCGGTAAATGAGTTCAGCCGCCGCCTCGTCTTTCTTGGTCTGTCCCGCGTAGCCGCTGTCACCCGTCACCATATAGTCGTATATACAGGCCTACAGTCAGGGTATGGGAAGGGATGTAAGAAATTATATTATTATTTATAGTTAAGAGACGGGTATATTGGGAACGGGCTATGACTATGCTAAAAATATGACATATGGTAAGGTTTTGAATATTTGAATTAAAGATTATTTGAGATATTAAATTGTGAAAACTTGACAACTTAACAAATAGTCTTACAACTCATTAAACCTTTTCTATAACAAAATTATTTAAATTTTGCATTTAAGATATATTAAATTAAATATTTTACTGGTTATTACACAGTTGTGTAAATTTATAACATATTACTGTATAGTAGTGAGGGATTCATACCTGACTATCACTGCACACTTTGTTCACATCGGGATGTTTGTCGAGATCCTCGGGAGTGATATCCCATTTGGGCTCAAACTTGACGTCGTCGTAGTCGGAGTGGTCGACCGGGTTGTGCCAGAACAGGGACTGACCGATAACTGGGGTTAGGGTTTCTTTGAGCCGGTAATGATTGGCAAAATTGTCGTGCAGGTCATGTATGGTGAGTGATGAGCCGGGTCGTGGGCCGGGACGCCCGTCCGGCAATTCCAGGTCGTCGTTCATATCTCGAGTATATTTGCCTAAAGTTTAATCAAAATATATTGATTAGATTAGTGGATACGTGGTCTGAATCAATAGCTCAGCAAATATTTTGTTCATTGCCTGACTATTAAGGTATTCCCTGATTAGCGTGATTTGTGAAAACACTTTTTGGATTCTTTGGTGATTAACTCATATCATAAATAAATAACATTAAGGTATTATTGGATAAAATTAGTGTCTAAATGGATTCTCACTAGAATATCAAGTTTATATAATAATATAGTAATGTAGACAACAGTTGTACTCAAAATACTAAATGTTTGTATAAAAAGAGTAATGAAAACAGCATTAATATATTCTGTCAAACAAACAATTGTGTTAATTCATTAAACGACCTATTTCTACAATAAATAGTAATAATACCCAATCTATACCCAATCTAGATTAGCTTTCCCATGCACCCTTACCTAACAAACCGATGGTATTATTAATGAACGTATTGGGCAGGTATACGTTGAGCAATAGGGAGCCCACTGGGCTCACCATAATCTCGACGCCCGCCCCGGAGTCAAACATAGCTATAATGTGCGACATATTCCTGATGCCCGCGGGCTGGTACAGCATCACACCCTTCATCTGTATGGACCGCATGTCCGGCTGCCAGAAGTAGTACATCTCCTTATCACCGAACAGGTAGAGCTGGAAATCCCACCGGGCGGCCACCGGTCTCAACCGGAACTCCACTATCGATGATATATTGTCGCGTATGGCCACCGCTGTTAGGTGGGTGCCGTTCAGGTTCGGCATTTGCTCGAACCGGCCATGTATGTCCAGTTTGTGCACCGGGTTGTCCGTGTGAACCAACACAAACTCGCCCTTACCATTGAATGTATAGTTGTACCGGTCGAATGTCAAAATATGGGGGTCCCCATAGACGGTGGCTATTCATCATCATCAATTGAAATGCTAGATTAGTGACCGGGTATGTTAAACTCCAGTATCTCACGTATAACAGGCGTTCATGTGTCTGATGCACTATTATATCTATGGTTTATATGTATTACTAAATCATTATTATGTACTGAAAATGACATTATGTGGTGGATTTGTGTGGACGCGTGTTATACGTGAGTCCATAGGGTTAAGACATAGGGAGAGGTAAGGTCTATCGTATAGGTTCACACAACTTGTGTTCAATTGTAAGGCAATAACGATAAGAAGTGCACATTTGTGGTGTTGCACAGGGCTTATAAGGACTTTAGGTTCGCTGATAAGTTATTACATACCGACGCCGGGTGTCTGGTATGAGGAGCAGTCTTGAGATGTGCGCCAATAGTTCATCATTTGGCAGGTCTTGCTGTTCTCCTGTCCCGGCGCCCATTTGCAGCAATAGAAGAATGGCATTATGTCGTACAACCAGTAGGATAGGGTCGGCACCTGTATTCATAGGGTTAGGCAACAATTGTCTTACTATTTAAGACGTAAAAAAACTATATTTAATAATATCTATGGTTATTGCTTACCATAACTCGCTGTTTAAACGGGTGTTTTCCATAGACAAAGGCACGAGAGGGTCGACCCCCGTACATAGTGTCTGCTGTTTGTAGTAACTCTCCGTAATCGTCGTAACAACATGTCTGACCCGAACCCCCGATCCTTTCATGCAAAGTATATTAATTATTATATGCATTAGTAATGCAGCATTACTATTATTTTAGTAAGGTAAAACAATTATAGGTCTCCAGATACAGGAATTAATAGTTATAATTATGGAGTTAATATAGGCTAATATGTACATGGTTATAAAGTAATAAACATTAGGTGTATACTAACGAGGGTCGGGCAGTGCGGACACAGTGTAGTGCCCCATGGTGTAGTGTGTCACACTTTTTGTCAATCACGTTGCACTGTAGGTCGGGTGCGAATCGACCCCGGTCCCTTTCCGATTGGGTCATAGTGCACGGGCACCGGAACACTGTGATGGCGAACCGGTCCAACTCAGACTCCCTGTTAAACCAATTACGACAAAACCTCTCACTCCAGTTATGACCGTACTCTTTGATCCAATACGGCCTCATATACCAGCCTATTGTGGACAGGGATGTCAACAAAATTTTAAATTCTTATGTTTAAGCTATTTCTATAAATTTATAAAATGTTTAAAACTATAATAAAATATTTTTCTTAAAATATCCGCACTTATGTGATGTTTGAATGTTTGTATAGTTTAAGTCTAGTTTTAAGTTGAATATGAATTTACGGTCTAAAGAGTGTGTAATTAAACAGCTGTTAATGTGTAACTTATAAAATAGCTAAATATAAGAGTGTATATTAAAAATGAGTACTCATAGTGTGTATAAAAGGACTTACAATTACCCGGGTACAAAAAGCGCTGTATAAAATGAGTGTGTAATAAATAGCCCTTAAAAAGTCTTTTGTTTGTGACATAAACTTATTTATTAAATAATATTTAACTAAGTAATTAACTAAAACTTATAACTTATAAATATTAGTAGCTAGCTACAAAACCAGTACAAACCCAAAGGCGTGGGCTTCGACCATAACGTTTGACTCCATTGCTCTCCCGTTATATTAATACCAATGAAACCAAAGGTGAACTCATAGTTGTCGAGCGCCGGCAGCTGCGGCAGACTATTCAAGTCGAGCTCATATTTGCCATTATTCTCGAGATTCGTTTGCAACTCAACCAAAAACGTGAGACTCGGGTAGACGTCGAGTTTCTCGCTGTAGCCCCACAGGGAAATAGATACGTGGACGTCATCATCCCAGGTCAGGTCGTCCGCCTGTTATTCTCGAGATTCGTTTGCAACTCAACCAAAAACGTGAGACTCGGGTAGACGTCGAGTTTCTCGCTGTAGCCCCACAGGGAAATGGATACGTGGACGTCATCATCCCAGGTCAGGTCGTCCGCCTGCCATTCAATGGTCAGTGTGTGCGGGTCTTCCGGCTTTCGCTCGATAGGCAACTCCTCCACCACTTCCTGCTCTTTCACCCATACGTCAAACTCTTTGCGACTTTCCGGAGATTCTGGAGTTATTTTTGGAGAAATTAGTTATTATATCCGTTAAGAGCTTATGAAATATAGTCCTCATCAGTGATGAGTCATCACTAATGATAAAATTTGTATAGTTTATAGATCTATTTATAAATTAACTTGTTTACTGTTAAGACATATTTTATAAAAATGCTTTTATTCAAAATCTAAACTATAGGTTAAAAATACGTTTTGTTGTAATCAGTTCACATGATAGTAAAAAGGTAAAATTAATAAATTAAATATTATAAATAGTATGGTATAATTATAATTGCTTTCAGACAATAAAGCGGACTAATAAAGGGTGTGTCTCATGTACTTACGGACATACATACGAGAATACCAAAATGTCTTATCATCCACTGTTACCGTGAAGTCCACATAACCTTTAGAAAGAAATTTTGCAAACAATTTCTTAATTAAAATAGTTTTAGCATGTATTTTGCAATTAATTTATAGCTCATCATAAATGAAGTAATTACCGTAATAAACGTATAATTACATTATATGATATACACACTATTAAATATATTTTTCAATGAAATTCTCGCTAACCTTCATACATGACAGCCGGCGTAATACAGGCGCCGATATTGGGTGTCATCATACGGCCCTTCACTTTCAACACATCGAACCGACACGTTATGATGGACTCCTCCGTAAGACAGGGACCCGTGAAGTTGAGCTCCTGTCCCCCTAACATCAGTATGTAATCTGTAGATGTATGCAAAGGCTGAACACCAAAAACACGAGAATTTTATTTCTATTCAATATAAAAATCACTTTAAAAATCTACTATGACTTACGAGTCTGTCCGGCAAATTAGGGTCCAGCTCCTTGTTAACACAGGCGCCTGGCTCCAGCTCCTCGTCTATTGTGAAGTAGAAACGACCCTCAATGCCATTACCCAAACCCATCTTAGGTAACAACGATATGCGAGGGTTTTGCGAAAAGGGCTGATATTCGTATGCCTGCGTGGAGTTGCCGCCATTGAAACCAATCTATCATTTCATTCATTAAATTATTTATATTGTAACACAAATTCCACATAATTCATGATAAATAATTACAATATGCAAGCGATACGTTGTCAACAAATTAACTA